GAAATAAAACGTTGAGATAAAACAGATCTGACAAGAAATAAAATTATTTTTGTAATCTAAACCGTTACCCAAGTCACGTGTTGGTGATTTAAAGGCACTATTATCATTTAAAATTAAAACGCTAAGGTGTCGACCGTTCATAGTTTTCTTTTATTCTGTTGTTTAGAGATATTCAAAAAATAACTCAAAGACCCCTGAGAACTACAATGGAACACTTACGGTGAAAAGCGTCTCCGGTTCTCTACACTTCACCATATGAAACACAGGAGCATCAAGCTGCTATTTCACACTGGCATTTTGTGAGAGCGTGGTCCTTCCCCGGTCGTATCGACCTACTCGTGCCACAACCATAATTAAGCTGTAGCCTGCAGCGTGGCTCTCACACATGTAGATATATATTTATTATATTTTGAAAGATATTTGATTCCGAGGCCTGACCAATAATATTTTTGCCTGAAATTTATAGAGCTATTATATGATGGATTGGATGCCGAAAGAAAACGTTGAGATAAAACAGATTTGATAAGAAATAAAATTACTGTTGTCATCTAAACCGTTACGCAAGTCACGTGTTGGTGATTTGTAGGCGCTGTTATCTTTTAAAATTAAAAAAAAGCTTAGGTGTCGACCGTTCATAGTTTTCTTTTATTCTGTTATTTAGAGATATTTAAAAAAATTGCTTAAAGTTAAAAGCCTTTTCTACAATTTACATTACAGGTGTAACGGAACAGTTTATTGCTACTTTCGAAATTTAGGAAATAAAGCGAGATTTATGTTTGTTTTTCGTAGTTGTTTAGAATATCTAGTACATTAAGTTTTATTTTTATTCAGAATGTAAAATATAATTTTAATATTTTTTATTAAATAAATTAATTTTAATTTTAATTTGGTGGTGTTGGAGTAAGAAACATTTCTAGCGTCACATCGCCTGCTTTCCTTCCTTCCGTACATAGTGTCAATGATTTATGTAACACAATTTTAAAGTAGACCCGTGTTTGCCGCGGAGGCAAGGCAAACATGGCTAACGCTCTGTCCCGGTGAAAATGTCCCACTGGAAGTTAACCAACAAAAACAGTGGGATATTCCGATCGTACGGAGTGTCCAGAAAAAATTATTTCAAAATTTACGCAGTCAACAAGATCAAGCTCGCCTTCTAGCTGTTTCGACTAAGGAATCTAGGCACTGGTTACACGCTCTACCATCAAGTAATCTCGGCACATTGCTTGATGGGGAGCACTTGCGCATCGCCATAAGAATCCGGCTTGGAATCCGGCTTGGAATCCGGCTTGGAATTTGTCACCCTCGCCAGTGCCCCTGTGGTAGCAGCGTCGATGAGTTTGGGCTCCACGGACTTTCAAGCAAGAAAAGTGCAGGTAGGTTTTCCCGTCACGGTTCTTTGAACTAAGTCATCCGAAGGGCTCTTGTCTCCATAAATATCCCCTCGGTTTTAGAGCCTTGTGGAATATTTAGAGAGGATGGTAAGAGACCCGACGGTATGACTTTGGTCCCTTGGGAGAGAGGTAAAGCCCTAGTGTGGGATGTTACTAAATGGCACAAATAATAGTCTTTGAGAAATGACTACATATTTGTGCTATTTGATGTAGAGGCTATCGGTCCGTGGGGTCCACGTGCAGTGAAGTTCCTAAAGGAACTGTATCCACGGCTGGTTGTCGCTGCTGGTGATAAGAGGGCTGGTTCTTTCCCCGCTCAAAGGCTTAGTATATCTATTCAGCGAGGAAACGCAGGCAGCGTTCTTGGCACTATACCACGGGGAGCAGGACTTTTTGATTATTTAAATTTTTGGTGTTAGTTTTTCTATATTATAGTTTATTTTTTATATTGTGTATAATTAGTATTAATTGGAAATATTATAATTTTAATATCATTTATAATTTTGTAAAAGCCGTGATAGCCCAAAGGCTAAGCGCTCTATGTAAATGTCAAAGTACGCAGGCAGCCCAGGTTCGATTTCCGGCGGCACCATCACACCACAATGAAAATGTTAGTTGCAGTTTTAAGTACTGATTTACCACGTGAATTTCAGAAGAATAAAGATAAAGCAAACACATGTCTAGTGCACCACACATTTGAGTCGTTTAGCGGCCTAGCCGTAAATTTTTGTCCGTTACAACCTTTTAAAATCCACTGCTGAACGTAGGCTTCCCCCATAGTTTGCCTCATAGGGAGGATATTTGCCATAGCTGCCACGCTTGTCAAACGGATTAGGAAACGCAGTTTTTTTTAGTAATTATTAGGACGCTGCTGCTCATCTCCTGGTTTGTTTCCTTCTGTCGCCTCTAACGACACCCACAAGATGATATGGGGTAGTGGATATTCACCACCACTACACAATAAATTTCTGTCATATCACATATTATATCATTATCGTAAGGCGATAGAATTTATGAAAAAGTTAAACGCTCTTAGAAACCAAAATAAGCTTATTTTTACTATATTTTTGTAGCCGTTCAAGGAGTGCAATTTAATACACGTTAGAAAGTAATGAAATTTCAGGTTTAAGACCACATGATTCTATTAGAAATATGTGGTCTTAAACCTGAAATTTAGGTAAAAAGTATTTAGGCCTCTTTATTAATGCTGGAATGCAGTCCAATACTCTAGGCCGTTTTAGGAAGATTAAGCTCGCTCAGTGAGCTATGGCGAGTGCAATACTCGGAGTATCTCTGAATGATACAATCCGAAGTGAATATATTCGCAGGAACCAGAGTGATCGAATAAGACAAAGAATCTACCTACGGGGAAGAAAAGTTCTCAAGTTGCAGACTCGTTTCTGTAAGCGCAATGTAGGGCGATCTTGCTCTCGATCGAGACGACCGGGTAGATGAATGCAAGTGGTTTAGGACTATGTAGGTATCGTAGCATATTTTGGAGTTCATCAGTAAATTTGTATGTGGATGTAATAATGATAATGATAACTGCTGGATATCAGTTTCTTCCAAATTAAGAGCATTGTTATTGTCGCCGCGCTTGATATCTGACTTTTTTTATAAATCGTATTTAGATGGTAGGGCTTTTATCGTGCAAAGGTGTCCATCAGAGTTGACTGCACCTTTTTTCGATTTTCTGCAACTAAGCAGAAGTTCCTACACCGATCGCTGTGATAAAAATGACTGTTAGCTGGTGTGTAGCTACAACGTCATAAAAAATTATATGTTAATTCAATTTATACGTAATTTCATTGAAATCATTTTAATAACTGTGTCCGTCTAAATGCAAATAATATATATTTTTTTATAGAATAGGCTGACAAACGAGCACACAGTCCACCTGATGGTAAGTGGTTGCTGCGGCCCATAGACATCTACATCTATCTTCCATTACAAATCAAAATGCAGATGCGTTGTCACCCATGAGGACTGAGATGGAATGCCTCATTTTCAGTAAAAAGGGTCTCCGGTTCTCTACACTCACCATACGAAATACAGCAGCATTAAGTTTCTTTATCTTTCTTATTCTGTGAGAGCGTGGTCTTTCCCCGGTCGAGCCGACCCATTCGTGCTACAACTATACTACTAATATAACTGCAGCATGACTCTACCACGTAGAATATATGATGTAATTATGTTATAATATGATGTAATCAAAATGTAATAATGAGGTAACTTCCTTATTTTAACACAATAAGAGCAGTGTAACCGAAATACGGATTTTATTAAAAACAAAAACAAAAAGCATAAAAATATTTATTAGCAAATAATGACAGATTAGGGCCACTATGCACCGCAATATTATATTTATTGTGTATCCTAGATAGTTTAAAAAATTAAGTTCTAATTCGGTGTAGACTATAGCGTTTTTTTTCTCTTTCACTGTCAATGTCGCGTGCAAAAAGATATCAAATTTCTATTCACAAAACAAAGTACCTACCTAGACCGTTTATCATGGAGTTGTTAAATGTTTATTCACTTAATACTGGTTGGGGTGAACTTGAAGCTTCATTTCGGTTGGTGAAATTTAATATCGTCTATCTAACAGAGACATAGCTAAAAACTGACTCTTATACTGGTGCTTATGCTACTCCTAACTATAATCGCATACATAAGCCTCGTTGTGGCCGTGGTGGCGGTGTGGGTGTCTACGTTTAAAACAATTTAATAACCCCAAGTCCTTACTTGAACAATTATCGATTGATATCAAAATTAAGCGACACAGCTTATTAATTGGAATTGCATATCGACCTGAGTTTGTATGTCAAGATATCGCAATCGATGCTTTCGACGTATAGATTATCAATATTTGAATCTAATTGTAGTGAGATATTAATAAAATAATTAAGAACAGTTCTAGTAAATCAATTCCAGAACATCTTTTGGATGCCACAAAACTTAAAACACATTTTATAAATAGCGTTCCTGTGTTGTGGGTTGACTTAAAACGGTTTAAAATTTTGAAAGTATTCGTAGTAGTAACTTATCGAAGTTTAATTTTAATAGAGTGGGTGCATCAGAGCTACAGAAGATTATTATTTCCTTCTCTTCAGTCTCTAAAGTATGTGATCTTTGGTTGACATTGTAGCCATCGTTAATAAAGCATTGTTAGAAAGAGTATATGTAATTGCTAATTGATCATACCCATACCGAAGAAACAAAAAATAGACAGCTTTGATGACCTCAGGCCAATAAGTATATTTGTTATCTACCTTGTTAAAAATAGTTGAAAAGTGTGCACAGCCACAATTTACTAGTTGTCTTAAAAATAATGTCATTTTTCCAGTGTTCCGATCGGGTATCTGGCATAAATTGAGCACAACTACAGCATTATTACATATTACGGACGATATTATTACCGCCGCTGATAATGGTGAAGGTACCATTTCAGTGCTACTATATTACCAGTCGCGCTCAACACGCATTCGCGAGTGGGTTAAAAACGGTTACTCCGTCAAAATGTCTGTAGAAACTTTGAATACACTAAAATGTGTGAATTGTAATATAGTTATATGTGAACTATTATCATTTATCCAAAATAAGATCACAGTGATGGATAATGAAAGTTTAATTAGGATTTGTGCCACTGCGTTTTCGGAGGAGGAGGTAGAATATTCGAAGGACTTGCTGTTTAGTTCGATAAAAAATATTCAGAAGAAAGTATCCAGGCGAAAACAAGGCAAAAAGCAAAGAAATTTAGAGGACATAATATGTGTTTTTAAAGTGACTGAACCCGATCTTATGCCAGTCTTTGTGGCGCGTGACCTACAAAAATTACCGCCTGTTACATTCGATCATGTTGATGTGACTAAATTGTTAAAAGACTTGCTGATTATGCGTAATGAAATCAGTGATATAAAAAACAATTATGCCACGGTGAATCAATTGGATGAGTTGAAGAAGGATTTGGAATCAAATAGGCCAGTGGCATCATTTTTAACCGGTAATATTAACATAAATAAAAGAGGAGGGTACATGCTTGATAGTGGACCAGTCGGTTTATCACCAACGGGCAATGAATCATTGTCGAGGCACTCGATTTCACAGCATAGAGAACCGTCCAAATATCGCTCACTCGTTCGCGCTAACGAGGCAGAGAAGTCGAGTGCGGCCGCACTGATTAATTCGACATTATTGGATAACGAGATGTGCACGGCGTTGTCTAAATCACCTGTATGCGCTAAATTGACGAATGAAACTAAACAGCCTACTATGGCGCAAATTGTAAGTAATGGAGAATGGAAAACACAAAATAAACCAACTGACGAATGGATAACAGTTCAAAAAAAGAAGGTATAGAAACCGGTTTGCAGGAAAAACGGGGAAAGCAGTAACGGACCTCTCGGAAAAGTTTAAAGCGGCAGATATAAAAGTCCCCTTGTTTATATCCAATGCAAATAAGGAGACAGCGGAAAAGGATATTTGCGAACACATTAAAAATAAAACCTCCGAAACAGTTTCACTTGAGAAAATTACAATGATAAAAGAACGGCCATACAATGCCTTTAAACTATATATAAATAAAAATAAGCTAGACGTATTTCTAGACGATCAAATGTGGCCTGATGGGATCAAATTTCGACGGTTTATACATTTTAGAAACAAAATAGGAGACGGTAATAACCTGTCTGTGAGTGGTGGCGTAACAAAAACACAAAAAAAATGGATAGTGAATCAAAATTATTTATAGTAACATTTAATTGTAAAAATGTGAAAAGATCCGTGAACTGTGTACTTTCACTGTGCAGGACGGCTGATATTATTTTATTACAAGAGACGTGGTTATATCCACATGATCTATCCTTTCTAGAAAATATAGATCAAGAATTCAGTTATACGGCCAAGTCTTCAGTGGACACTTCTGCAGGTATTTGCAAAGGCAGACCATACGGAGGTCTTGCCATACTATGGCGAAAAAGTGCATTTAGTTACGTGAGTGTAGTGCAAAGTGAGAGCAACCGGATTTGTTCTGTTAAAATAGAGGTGAATAACCGAAGTTTTATGGTTATAAATATGTACATGCCAACTGACTGCAGTGAAAACTTACCACATTTTACAGAATGTCTCAGTGAAATGTATTATATAATACAAAATAGTAATATAGAATCAGTGTTTGCATTGGGGGACTTCAATGCGCACCCGGGTGAGTTATTTTGTAATGAACTTCTTAGTTTTTGTACAGAACAAGATTTATTATGTGCCGATATTGATTATTTGGGCATGTCATCGCCTACGTTTACATTCATAAGTGACTCACACGGGTGTAAGCGTTGGTTAGACCACTGTATTGTTACACAATCGGCTGCAAAAACCGTTGTAAGCGTTGAGGTTATCCGCGACTCTTATTGGTCAGACCATTTTCCATTAAAATTAGAATGTAACTTATCCGTTATTAGAGTAAAAAACTGTGCTATAAAATCCAATTATAATAGTATTCATTGGGGAGTAAGAAATACAGAAGAAATAAATAAATATTCTACAATGTGTAATAATAAATTAAAAAATTTTGATTTTCCTAAGGTTTTTGAATCATGTACAGATAAATGTAATAACCCAGAACATTAAGTTTTGTTGGATAAAATATATAACAAAATTGTATTTATACTATGTGATGCAGCCAGAAATAGTAAAGCCCCGAGGGGGTGTTGTAGGAAAATATAAGGGTGTAAAGGGATGGAATAAATATGTAAAAGAATCTCATAACAATGCAAGGATTAAGTTAAAAATATGGATGTGGTATGGTCAACCTAGTAGGGGGCCCATATTTGAAGATATGAGACTATCGCGTAAAATATTTAAATCTAAATTAAAGTGGTGTACTAAAAATCAAGAAAAAATGAAAATGGATATATTGACCTCACTTCATTCAAAAAAATGTTTCTGTGCTTTTTGGAGAGGTACTAGGAAATTAAGCAATACCGCAAGTCTTCCAGGTAGCGTGGAGGGTAAGAGTGACTATACTGAGATAGCAAATGTTTTCAAAAATCATTTTAAAGTGAGCTCACCTCTTGAAACTGTGCATAGTGTGAACAATGCGGAGTCATGTCAGCCAGAATCACCACTGAAGGTAACATGTAAAGAACTAAAATCTGTTATTGAAAGTATGAAGAAAGGTAAATCTCCTGGACATGACGGACTCAGCATCGAGCACCTTCAAAACGCTGGAATACATTTGCCAAGAGGGTTGACCATATTCTTTAATCTATTTATAGGACATTCTTACTTACCACAAGAGCTTCTGGAGACTATAGTCGTACCTATTGTTAAAAACAGGACTGGAGACATAGCGGATAAGTGTAATTACAGACCTATTTCACTGGCGACTGTGATAGCAAAAGTATTTGACAGTGTGCTAGACTCGCGCCTCAGTGAATACATAAAATTACATGATTCACAGTTTGGTTTTCGTGCGGGACTATCCACTGAGAGTGCTATTTTTGCATTGAAGCACACTGTCAAATATTACACTGACAGGAAAACACCCGTATATGCTTGTTTCCTGGACCTTTCAAAAGCCTTTGACCTGGTTTCCTACAATGTTCTGTGGGGAAAGCTTCGGGAGGCGGGAGTTCCTGCTTCATTAGTATCTACGTTATCTATGTGGTATGATAAGCAAAGAAATTTTGTTAGGTGGTCCAATGCATTGTCTGACCCATATAAACTTGAGTGCGGTGTGAGGCAGGGGGGTCTTACCTCTCCGAGGCTTTTTAATATCTACATAAATAAGCTGATTGACGAGCTTAGCAGCACACATGTTGGTTGTCATATAGATGGAGTATGTCTAAATAACTTGAGCTATGCAGACGACATGGTGTTGCTGAGCCCGTCAGTCTATGGAATACGAAAGTTACTTTCCATTTGTGAGAATTATGCTGAGCAGCATGGATTAAAATATAATGCTAAAAAAAGTGAACTGTTAGTTTTCAGAGGTATAAATAAAAGTCTAATATGTGTTCCTCCAGTAAAGCTTAATGGTTCACTGTTACAGAGAGTAACTCATTTTAAATACCTGGGTCACATTGTCACAGAGGATTTAAAGGATGATCTAGATATCGAAAGGGAACGCAGGGCGCTAGCCGTGAGAGGTAATATGGTGGCTCGAAGGTTTGCTGCTTGCTCTGTACCAGTTAAAATAACACTGTTCAAGGCTTACTGCCAATCATTTTATACCAGCAGCCTTTGGACCAATCATACCCAAAAGGCAAGCAATACCCTGCGTATTCAATATAACAATGTCTTCAGGTTATTGTTGGGGCTTCCACCTTATTGTAGTGTATCAGGCATGTTCGCCGATGCGCATACTGATGACTACTTCGCGATCATGCGTAAAAAAGGTGGAGTCATTAATGCGCAGAGTGAGAGGGAGCTCGAATAGTATCCTGAGGGTCTTTGCGGAGAGGCTCGATGGCCCGACACTAGGTAGGTTTGTCAAGCTACATATACTAAAGTGAGCTTGATAAATCTATAAAATTTGTATGTATTGTGTGAATTTTTATTTTGTTTTTATTTCCATTGTGTTTTTTTTTTGTTTTGGGTACTTACATTAGTTCTTAAGTTTTATTTGTATTACTAACATGTTATGGGCCTACGATGCCTGAAAAATAAAACATTTTTTTTTATTTTTATTTTTATTTATTATTTTTATTTATATTTTTCTCAGGCTTTCGACTGCGTTAATATACCCATTTTAGTGACAAAATTAAAAATCTTTGGTTTTTCCGAAACGGCATGTTCGTGGTTTCAATCATAACACAGGAGGAGTCAAAAAGTAAAATGCATCAATACTGAAGGTAATGTTGATATTTCGGAGCCCCTACCAATTTCTAAAGGCGTTATTCGAGGTTCCATTCTTGGCCCAACACTCTTCGCCATATACACAGCAGACATACAAAATGTAGTTCAACACTCCAAATATCACGTTTATGCCGATGATCATAGAATACTATAATACATACATGTCGCTAACACGTCAATTCACACGTATAAACGTCAATACTAGATGTGTTTTGACGTTACAATCGTTTAAATTTCGCATGCAAATATAAAAACCAAATGCACGTTATTCAAAATCGTTTAGTAACGGTCACGTCAGTTTGTGCGTGACACTCAATTGTAGGTCCATATGTCACCAACAAACGACAGTAGCATTGGTCAGAGTCACATGGTTTACTTCTGAATCCTAAAATGTACTTGTATAATTTACATGTCATCAAGTTGCATCTATCAAAAAAATTAACCCAAGTGTCATGATCCATGGCAAAACTAATCCTCGAGATGATTGCATTCGTAACTTGGGCCTAAACATGAATGAAGGTTTAACGTTTGTGCAACAAGTACAACAAAAAATAGGAAAATGTTTTAGGTCTTTAAAATCTCTTCACAAAATTCGTTCTTTTCTAAAACCAGATATCCGGCTCCATCTTTGCAACAGCCTGGTCTTGTCATATCAGCATTATTGCGAATTGTTATGTGGTTCTTGACTCTCACAGGAAACCATAGGGAGAATACAATGGGTTCAAAAAGCATGTATGTGCTATTGTTTTGACATACCTAGGACTAACCACATAACTCGTTATCTCCTCAAAAATAATATTTTTAGTTAGGGTTACAAATGATATAATTAATTTGTTATTTTTGGTATCTAAGTAGTTTTGATTTTAGTTTTATAAATATATAAATGAAAATGATAGATATACATACATATCAATAACATAAAACAAGTAAATAAAATAGATAAATAAATAAAACCCAACCAGATCGGACCAAACGGCCGAGGCCTTGATTATATACTTGTTCAATGAGATGAAAGTTCAACAAAATAGGTAGAGTAAAGTAATTGTTTTCCAGATTAGTTTCATTTATTTTAGTAGCAACAAAAATACAATGAAAGAATGTAAAGTAATTCATAGATCAAAACTTTAATAGATCAAAATTTTTTGTAAAATATAAAGGTCTTCATTTCGTGTCCGCTGCGTAATGTCTCTCCAGCAATTTGCCAGTACGGAGTCCGTAGGAAATCTAAAACCAAAAATATAAGAAAGAACCAACTAAAACACTATTTAGTGCATGACGTCATGGGTTTCATTTATTTTGTGTAGGTAAGTTACCATTTACTGATAAAATAAATAAAGTAATTTTTGAAAAGATAATGTTCCCCTGATCTAAAACTGACGTAATAATATTTGTTGGAGTGGAGCTCCCACGGCAGCTAAAATCTATCTCGTCTGTAACCTGTAAGCTAATTAACATACAATTTTCGGCAATATTTGTAGCGCAACGCAGACAAGGTTTGTAAGCAA